CCCCCCCCCCCGCAGCCGCCAGCTCCTTCAATCTTGCTCTTCTATATCATCGGCATGTCAATGCCGCGTCAAAAAATGGCTTTGAGAAAATATGTTACTGAGATGCCCCCATAAATAGGCCGCAGCTGTACCTGGGTCCTTTGGTCTTAAGCTATACTAGATCTCTGCACGGTCATCAATGGCTGATCAAGTGAAACCGTAAAATTAATGAGGGGAATCAGCAAATGCCATAGCGCATACCAAATTCGAAGCAACATCCACGGGTTCTTCACTTTTTTCTTCAGTATCATTCACAACAATCTGCAAATTCAAATTTACACATATGAATAAATACATGTTACTCGCTCAAGCGGTTCTCATTTACAACTGCTGAACATTCGCTTACAATGCTTCGAAGCTTTACCAGAGGACAAAGAAGTTTTGCCTTCAAGAATTCAGAGGAAAAGGCGGGAAGTCAAAAAAAACACTCAGTATACGGTTTTAGCTAAGTTAATATCCTAACCTTACCTCAAATATCAACTCAACAAGACGTCAGTCAGCTGAAAATACCACCGTCCTGTTGAAAGCGACATCACCAGCAAACTATGCTTAAGCGCTATCCGGACCGAATGAAAGGCATTTTTTCACCGTTAAGCGTTTGGTTTGCGGATGATAAAGTTTTATCAATTAGGTTATTTCCGACTACTTCCTCACTCATAAGCCATCTAGGGGAGGGGAGGGGAGGTGGCACAGGCAGCAGTGTTTCAAAAGTCCGGGTCTAGAGCTAAAAATAAAGTAAACTAAAGCCTAAAGCAACTCTAAGTATCAATGTTACAACTGTTTTTCCAGTTTCTACATAGATCAACGGTAAGAGATAGGAATCTCTTTCCCACCTCCAACCCTTCCCTCTAGGAGCCCACCCTGGACCCGTCTCTTTCGTTTCGGCACTCAGGCAGTGCAAGATATGAGGAAGTCCTGTCAGATGGCAGATGAAGAGATACAAACGTTAAAAGTTGGCTTAGCCAGCTGTTGCCCCTCGTCGTTTGGTGATTGCGAAGCCAAACCCTGGGTGATATCGTCTGCGACATCGACAAGCCCATTTGCTGAGCCTTGCGAGGCAGCATCACTCAAATGATCAAACGAGGACGAATCAACCGAACCATCCATGCTTGCTGGCATTACCATCCGCCAAAATCGATTCCTGTGCTTGACTACAATTAAT